AATACTTTTCTCAGGGCTTACTATATAACAAGGAGGACCATGGGCCTTCAACTCTACCTGTATTAAGAAAATAAAAAAGCCTAAATAAATATAGAAACATGAAAATCTGTAATGTTTGGATGGCAGGTGCATAGTTACATGTTTTATTAGTGTCTGTGCTTTTGCACTTTTTGGATTGTTCTATAACAATACTAACAATAACAATACAACTCAATTTCTTACCGGATTGTCTACTTGCTAAATTTTGTGAATCTGTTTCCAGATACCTCTTTATTAAATAATGGTGAGAGTGTGCATTCACACTGAAGTGTGAGAGGCCTTGGTTCAACTACGCTTTCATTACTTCCTGTTTTCTGACTTTGGGTGGGTTATGTCACAATTTCTAAACAGGTGGGAATAGCAGTGGTGCACACGTTTTGTGAGGGTTAAGTGAGCAGATGTGTGTACAGAGCTTAGCACAGTGCCTACAGCACAGGATGCATCAATGCACGTGAGCTGTCGTGGAGGTAATGCGCAAGTGGACCATGCTGTGGGCATGTTCTGAAAACAAACATGCACAGCATTAAGCAAAATGAATGCTACAGTAACAACTGTCTCAATTTTCTGGGGGAATAGGTGTATTTTATCCTATGGCCTGACTGTTTCTTTCTATAGTAAAGCTTCCAAGAAGATCAAAGCAGGGGCAGGCATTTGGTGCAGCAGGCAAGATGCCTCTTGGGACGCCCATGTCTCATACTGGATTAAGTTCTAGCTCTGCTTCCAATGCCAGCTTCCTTCTAAGGCTCGAACCCTGGGAGGTGGTCGGTCATGACTCAGGTGCCTGGGTCCCAGATACACACGTGGGAGGCTGGACTGAGTTCCCAGGCTCCTGCCTTTGGCCAGGCCCAGAGAGCGATGTTGTGGGCACTTGGGGAGTGAAGCAGAGATAGGAGCTGTCCTTCTCTGCCTTTGTCTCTCTAGCTCTCCAATAAATAAAATGAATGAAGAAAAATTTAAAAGTTCAGAGCCAAATTTATGCTCGTGTGCAGGACATTATAATCTCACTTGAATTTCCTGCTTCATTCGGTGGACCCCTGGGAGTCCCCTCGGGTCCTTCATGCCCTGTGGTTGGGATAAAAGAAAGCAAAGAAGTAGTAAGAAAAAAACCCATGGACGACAGGAGGGAAGGAAAGAGGAAAAAAGGATCAGTCGCAAGAGACTCTGGAATTATTGAGCATAATGTTCAGTTTTTGGATTTATGCTAATTGGCATGAGTTTCATCCCATCTAGGACTTGTTCTGGTGCTCCGTGCCTGCATGCAGTGTGTTTGCATTTTGACTGGCAGTAAGCCTTAAGCTATCATCTCTGATGCTACTGTGAGTTTTCCTAAATGACACCACTTGAGGGTTGTCATGGGCTCTGGTTCACTCTGGTGTCTGATGAGTGCTACAGTCAGTTCTTCATTATCTACGTGGAGACTGGGCACTTTGTTTTTTGGCAGCAAATGTTTCATCCAAGGTCAGTTTCCCTCAAGTGCTCAGCACCGTTTCAGACAGTGTGCGCTCAGGGAATGCAAATTAATTTAATGTTAGCTTTAGCCAAACCCAGCTAGGAAGGTAAACCTGCTCTTAAAAACACCATAAACACTGATAAACATCATCCAAATTGTATGATGTTTGAGCTTGTATAAATGCATAAAATTTCCTCTTAATTCCAAAGGCATTATTCCACAGCACTTTTCAACTCATCTTTGAATAAGCTTTATTTTTGTTCTTTGCTTTTAAGTAAATTTTAAATTGAAATTATTTTCCATTATATTTTATTATAAGTGGGGAGGATAAGAAAAGGTTGAGGATATATGTATATTTAATATTTCTGTTCCATTATAAAAATGCAATGCATGCTTATAACAGAAAATGAAGAAATAGAGAAAACTCTAGAGGAAAGCAAACCATTTATAATCTCTTCAGACAGAAACAAGCACTATTGAAGATTTTTGCCGTATCTCTTTCCACATGGGGTTGAGGTTGTAGAAGTTCTCAGAATGGATGGGTTGATCGTTTTGAGTGTGTCCTGGGTTCTAAAGCTACTCTCAGAATTACTGCCTTGCTCTGCAGGGTCTCCCTGCCTGAAGACAAAGCAGGGCAAGAGGACCTACAGGGTTGGGAGCCACTTTTCCATCAGGAGAAGTCACATCCTTTCTTCCTCTGCCTCCCTCTACTTTATTCCCTTCTCCCATCAGAGGAGGGTAAGGCTGCTGGGGAGACCCTGGACTGCTGGGAGAGGCTGGATTGAGAAAGACAAGAGCGCCTCAGACCCTCAAGGCTCTCCCAGCTGTACCAGAGTGGGCTGAGGCATCTGGCTTTCCAGACATGTCCATAAATCTCAGCACAGTTGCGTTGCGCAGACAGAAGACAGAGGGACCGGGTTTCCAGCCCCTGTGGGTGGAATTGTCAGGGTAGCCTTTCTCCTCGCTTGTGGCAGTGTTTCCCATGACTGCCTTTTTCTTCTCCCTTGGAGCCTCACACACTTAATGCCTCTTATACCCATCCTGTCTCCCTCCTTTTCCTGGAGCCTGGTCCCACTGCCCCTTGGAGGGGGTGTTTAACCAATTCTCCACTGCACTGTAAGATGGACTGGGGATTAAGGGCCAGTGTTCCCTCTCCTCCTGAATGGCCAATCAGAGAAGCTCTGGGAGGATAAAATGAGGATCAAGAAACTAGGACCCTCCCCCCTGATAGCAAAGCCAGGAAGACTTGAGCTCAGTAGACAAGCCCCTGTGTCCCATGATAGTGGAAGGTGGAGCTGAAGAGATAATCACCCAGTCCTCAGTTTGGTGGAGAAGCAGAGATGAGAAAGGATCAATGGGTCATTCAGGGAGGGACAGAGAATAAGAGAGAGATAGAGGGAGACTCAATAGTATTGTTGTCCATAGTTTTAACTCTCCAAAGTTCCTTGGATTTCCTTCTGAAGTTTCGGCTTTATCTCTCTTAAATTCTGTAATGCTATGACCTACCCTAGGAATTTTCCCCAACGAATTAGCTCTGAACCGATTTTCTGTCATTGGTAACCCAAAGAACCCAGATCAACAGAACAAGACTTACCTCAGCCTCCTGCATCCCCTAGGTTCTCTGCCCATCTCTCAGGATCTTTGGCTGTCTGCACTGCAAAGCCCCAAGCACATCAGAGAGCTTACTCCCGCCCCTTCTTCAGATAAATATTCAGTACATTGTGGCAGAGTCAGGGTTAATCCGTAAGGTTCTGTGGCTACAGTGGGTCTCTTATTATACTATCATTAGAAACAATTGTTTAGCCTTTGTAACTTTTGATATTATTTTGCCATGGTGAAATAACAGCACAAGTCATTTTCTTTAAAAGAGGCAACAGATTGGGTGGTTGAAAACAAGACGTCTTATCAAAAGCTAATGACCACATTGTCAAAAAATGGTATGAAACCTTCCATCTCCTGGACTTGCTTCCTTTCTGAAAAAAACCTGAGTCATGGTGACAGATGGGCGTGGCTTACTCAACATGTGGTTGGTGGCACCTAAGGTGTGCCCAGTACTGTGCTGGGCCCAGGCACAAAGTCAGTCCCTGAACAGGGGCCTTCTGTACCCCACCTCTGAGGGATGGGACGATGAGCTGGAGCAGCACGCTGTCATTTTCCTAGGAAAGATCTCTCCTTAAAATGCCCCGTGGCATTTGTTGCTAAAGGCCATGTGCGAACTCTATATCAAGTTATGAATCTGACATCCACCAGTGCTCAAAAGAGACAGGGGCTTTTCTGTGCAACCTGAACATCCCACAGCAACCAGCCGAATCCAGATGAGGTCTGGGAGGCAGCTGAGCTCCTGCCAAATGACATTCCACTCCACTGACAAAGCAGCGTCCTCCTGCTGCTTCTGGTCCTGACAGGTATCTATTCTGAACTCCTAGAGAAGCCACTGACAGCTCCCAGCCTTGATCTTTTGGCTTAGTTCCCAGGGAGACCTCCCCACCTCATGTTTTATTCATGGTGTCTCCCGGGCTGCTTTCTTCATTGTGGATATTGGTGGTATGGGGTAGGGGCAATAAATGAACCTGAAATGAAGCTCGAGTGTCATAATCAAACCATCCCCAGGTATTGGGAAAGCCTCTAACCAGAGCCTGAGATTCTGGGAAAGACTGTGTTTTGAGGGTTTTTAAGGCAAAGCCTGTGCAAAGCAGAAAAATACAGTTATTCATATTGCATTGGAGCAGTGGAAGAAGTAGGTCAGATGGACAGAAATAACCTTTGCTGGGCGAGAAGCTTTGGGCCTCTGTGAGTGTGGCAGAGAAGTACAGTGCGACGGTTGAAAGTGGAGGACTGAGATCCCAGTCCCTAAGACCAGGGAAGCCACCGGGAAGATCCGGAGTAAACAGTTTCCACCTCTTTCTTCACCAGCACCTCTGTCACTTCTTTTCTTGCATGAATTACAGTTGGCTCTCTGTGTTCTGCAAAGCTCAGGATCAACCAGCCACAGATGGAAACCATTGGAGAAGGAAACCACATCTGTAGTGAATACATGAGGATCTTTCTCCACCTGTCAGTCATCCCCTGACGATGCAGCATAACCACTGTTCACACAGCATGTATGGTTATTAGGTATTGTAAGTAGTCTGGAGATGATTTAAAATATACGGGGGGGGGTGTAGGTGTAGGCAGCTTATAAGGAAATGCCCCGTTTTATGCAGGGGCTCCCCAAAAAATTCATGGAAAATGCACATCATTTTTAAATTTCACTTGCCCATGATTGTTTTTTTTTTAAGAAATCTTGCATAAGGGACCTGAGCATCCTCTGAGGCTGGTATCTGTGGAGGTCCTGGAATCACTCCTTCAAGGAAACCCAAGGACGATTGCTCCCTGTCATTCTGCTTCACTAGTTAAGCACTTGTGTGGGTATTGGTATCCCTTCCACCTGCCCCAACCCGCAAAAGCAAATCTGCAGCATAGACATCATAGCACCATACCATGGAAAATGGATCTGAACACAAGTGCGTACCTTGAGAATGATGGTCTTCTCACGACGGGTGATATTCACACTGTGGGGCTGCCCATTGGCCATATTCCTTTGGTCTGGGTCAATGTTATAGGGCTCTTTGGTGCCTCCCAGGTTGTACCGAATCTGTAAGCTTCCTGTATGAGAAGAACAGAAACTCATCATTTCCTTGCTTCAGGTTCTGTAAACACCACTTCACTTGGACCAGCCTTGCTTCAGGTTCTGTTTTATTGCTCCTCTCCCCCTGCCCCCCACCCCCCAACTCTGCAGCTTGGGTTTCCATTAAGCTCTGCTCCCTGCGTTGATGTCCTTGACACCATTATAGCTTTGAATTCAGATTCATGAGCTCAGGGGCATACTAATTCATAAGGATTTACAACACCAGACCTTCATAAGGGTTTACAACACCAGACCCGCATATATTCACAATCTGCTAACCATGAACTTCAATGACCATCATCTCAAAGTGCAAGTAGCAAATGGTATAAATGGTCCAAGTCGGGACTGTGGCTGAAAATGCAGAGTGAGAACATACATGATGAAGGACAGTAGAGATGCCTAAAGGCCCACAGAATATTACATGAAATAAAAAATAAGAGCAGAGAGCAGCAATGGTCTCACTCCATCAGTGAAGTGTGACATTCGGCATAGCATAGAAACATGAGCATACAATATTAAACATAAACATAATTTACCAAAGATAAAGACATGGGATTTTCGGTGGCTCAATGAGACTAAGAAAACAGAACAATAAGTTTTGTTTCCAAATGAAAATTAAAGGAAAAGATGGGGTTCCCAAGTCCCCTGAGTCTATTCCATGATAGTTCACTTTGCCTTCCCAACTTCCCAACTTCCCAACTTGTTTTTGTTCTTCTTCTTCTTCTTCTTTTTTTTTTTTTTGCTCCTTGATTCTTCCTAAGAATGACAATATTTAATAGACTAACGTGGGGCTGGCACTGTGTAGTAGGCTAAGCTTCTGCCTGTGGCACCAGCATCCTGTATGGGTACTGCTTCGTGTCCCAGATGCTCCTTTTCGGATCCAGCTCTCTGCTGACAGCCTGGGAAAACAGTGGAAGATGGCCCAAGTGCTGGGGCCCCTGCACCCACATGCGAGACCCGAGCAAAGCTCTTGGCTCCTAGCTTCAGCCTGGCCCAGTCCCGGCTAGGCCATTTGGGGAGTGAACCAGCAGATGGAAGACCTTTCTCTCTGTCTCTCTCTTTTCATCTGTAACTCTGCCTCTCAAATAAATAAAAAAAAATCTTAAAAAAAAACAATATGACATGTAGAGACTGCTTTTAGTTAATCTGCACAGCAAGCATAACTTTTATTTCTTATTTATGATTTGAAAGGCATCAATTTTTTATCTCATTTTTTACTCAAATTGGAGTCTTGGTTTTGTTAATAGGCTTTGGCATCTCAGAGCTTCAAAATGGAGCTAGCAATCTTGCAAGAGTTTGACCAGCCATAAATAACCCAGTAGATTCTGTATTGCCTCTTTCTTTTTCCTTCCAGAGGAACAAAATTGATGTTCTGATTTTTAAGTTACAAAATAAAACATGATAGTTAAAGCCTAGAAAGTAAACAAAAACAGAGTCGTCTGAAATCCCTCCATGCAGAGATAACTAGTCGAAGTATCTTGGCAGGATCTCCTTCCAGACATCTCTCGTGTATGGCTATATGTATAGATATGTGTGAACACACACATGTAAATAAATGCAGTACTTTAGAAATGTTGCCCTTCTTTATTTAGGCATTCCAGCATGAAGATGACATTTTAAACGTAGCAGCATGTGCCTGGCCTTGAAAGACAAATTTGTTACCATAATTGAGAATTCGTTATACGTTCTATCCTTCTTTCCTTCCTTCCTTCCTTCCTTCCTTCCTTCCTTCCTTCCTTCCTTCCATTCGTTCATTCTTTATTTTTAAGATTTTTAGGGGTAGAGTTACAGATGGAGAGAGGGAGAGACAGAGAGAAACATCTTTCATCTGCTGGTTCACTTCCCAGATGGCTGCAAAGGCCGGAACTGAGCCTATCCCAAGCCAGGAGCCAGGAGCTTCCTCCAGGTCTCCTGCGTGGGTGCAGGGGCCCAAGCAATTGGGCCATCTTCCAGGCTATCAGCAGAGAGCTGGATCGGAAGTGGAGCAGCCAGGACTACAATCAGTGCCCATGAAAGACAGCAGCACTGCAGGCGGAGGCTTAGCCCACCATGTGCAGTGCTGGCCCCTATTCTCGCTTTTTGAATGAAACTGGACAAAGCTTCGCTCCACCAGTCGTCTCCTGGAACGTCCACTTGGATGTCTTCTTGGCGTCTCAAACACGACAGATGCAGCACAGCACTGATCTTCTCTCCAAAAGAGGTTTCCATGGCGGTTTTCCACATTTTTGGAAGCAGTCAATAATTCTCCCATTCTTGCCCAAAGCTTCGACTCTCCTCTTTCTCCTATAGTTCCCTTGTGAGCTGTCAGCAAATCTTCTCGGCTTGACTTTCAAAATATGCTCTGAATAGTACAGCTTTTCAGCTCCTCCGTCTCGACCATCTGTTGCCTGAATTGCTGTATCAGCCTTCACGTTTACCTCTTGCTTCTGCCCCCACCTCAACCTCTCAAACTCCAGCTTCGCCTCTGCCCCTCCGGCGTGCTGTCTCCCCTCCCCAAGGTGGCCAGAGTGAGCCTCTGTGCAGAATCCTCAGGGCCTTCCTATCTCATTCAAGGTGAAACGCTGAGTCTGTACAGTGGTTCACCAGACCCCCCGGGATCTCCCCACATCTTCTCGGCCCTGTTTCTTGTTGCTCTCCTCCTTGTGTCCTCCTCACCAGCCCACCTTGGCCTCCTTGGAAGTGAGCAGGTGCCTGCCCCAGGACCTTCACACAGCTGGTTCTTCCATCTAGGATGGTCTTCCCCTGTTGCCTGCATGGCTTGGCACTTACGCTTTCGGGTCTTTGTTCTGATGTCTACTTCTTGGTGGTCTTTTTCTCTGTGACTTTCTCAGTGAAAGTGGAATCTACTCACTCCCTTAGCCAGGCCCTCCCTTCGTTGCCGTATATTTCCTCCCATAACAGTTCTTACCAAACAAAATTCTACTGATTGTACTTAATTTGTTTGTTGTCTCTCTTCTGCTCAAAGCAAGCCCACGACAGCAAGGACTTCTTATATCTTTGCGTTCACAGTGGTGCCTGAGCCACAGTAGGCACCTACTGTTAGGAGTTGCTAGGCGCTTGGGACCCAAATGGCCAACTCAGCATCTGGTAAAATTGAACAGAAGCACAATGCCCCTGGAAGACAGCATGATGGTATTCCATTGCCTGATTCTTCCGGCTTCACCGTGAGTTTTACAGTTTCTTGCCATGACCTTCTGGGCTGACAAAACCACACAATGTACATGGTTGACCCTGATAAACACCTGCCAAGGTGGCCTTTTGCTCATCCAGGCCTAATTCATCATGGTGCATGTGAGTCTCTGTGAATACACGGCCCTTTCCCAGGCAAAGGTCATATAAATACAATTGCCTGGGGAGGGGAGGGGAGGAGAGGAAGGGGGGGCGTGGAGGAGCTGAGCACTCAGCCTCCCCGTGCCCTGCAGGTGGCTTATAACCTCACCTCAAACTCCACTGTGCTGTCCTCCTACTTTAACTGGCTATCTCCTCATTGCCTTTGAACCCCCAAATCCTAAAACCTAACACACGTACTATTTGTTGATTGAATGATCCTCTGCTTTCTACTTCCAAATGCTCTCTTTTCAAAACGCATGACTGATGATTTCACTCACTCACTGAAAACGCATCAAAACCTTCCAGTGTATCATTGGATAAAAATGTATAATCTGGAGTGGGTGCTTGGCCTAGCAGTTAAGATGTTGAGTGTCTGGGTTCGATTCCTGGCTCCAGCTTCCTGCTACTGTAGACCCTGGGAGGCAGCAGGTGGTTGCTCAAGCAGCTGGGTCTTTTCCACAGACATGGGAGACCTGCACCGAGTTCCTGACTCCAAGCTTTGGCTTGGCCTAGTCTTGGCTGTTGTGGACAACTGCGGAACGGATGGCACTCTATTCATCTGTCTGCCTATCCCCCTGCCTCTTGAATTAAAATGTATATTCTAAACATAGCCTCTGATACTGAGTTGGCTTCTGCTTAATACCTTATTTTCAAATCATACCACTTGCCATCTCACTTTTTACATTCAAGCTACCTTAGACTTCTCTTACTGCCTAGAAATGCAGTTCTCCTCCCTTCCTCCCTCAAGACCTCTGAATGTGCTGCTGCTTCTTCTGGAGCCACCTCTCTCCCCACTGCTCACTACTGTGTCTCTTTACCCCAATAACATTAAAAATAATCCTTGTTTGGAAATGAAGGAGATGCTTAGGCGGTTGTTTGGCAACATGCACAAACAAGTGGACTGCCTTCGGTTTTGATTTTCTGCCTCACTTTTGGTGCTTGGACTTCATGTGCAATCACAGCTAGTTTTCTTAGACATACAGCTGCACTGATTCATCATTTATTCGTTTCTTCTGAGTAGGTTTATTTAGTTCCTGTGCAAAGCACAGCTTTTTCTCAAGGACTGAAAGTAGGCTGGCTGGCTGGTTACAAGTGTGAGGCCCACTTCTAACACCTACAACCATCCCAGTCCATGCTGTGCCGGGATCTGGGCACACAAAGACAAGAAAGAGAGGGCTGGTGGGCAGAGGAACAGGTCATTATTCAGAAACCTGTCATTATCCTCCCTACCGTCTCTTTGCCATTGACCTCTTTCTGGTCCCCAGTTCTATTCAAATCACCTTTAAGTTGTTTTCATTGTTTCTTCCCTCTTCCAGCTTTCTTGGACTTCATAAACATGATTTAAAATTCCTATAGGTGTTTCACTTCATGGTAGCAAAAATCATTTGCTTTGAGAAAAATAAGAGTTGAACTATAAATTTATATCTAGTGAATATATATATGTATAAATACTTATGACAATATTCCTGAAAAATAAAATTTAAATGGTATATTTATTCCTTTCAAATAATAGCAGAAGAGGATCATTAAATGACGATAGGGATAATGTTACTATTTGTCCATGAAAGTAAACTATTACTCAAATGGAGAGATACTCCACTTCCTCTATCTCATGCTCATCATTAAGGCTGTTATGAGGGACCACTCTTTTATTGGCTGCAGCAAATAATGCTCTGAGCAGATTTATCCTCTCCTGGTCATCATCATTATCATCAGCAAACACTTGCAGGGCACCTACTGCAGGCGAGAGATGTGCTTGGAACCTTTCATTTCTCTGAGGAGACAGGGCATATTTATAACAGAGACAGATAACTCTACAGTACAGTCAGTGCCAAACAAATGACATGGAAAATAAGGGTAACAGGACTTCAAAGCAAGAAGAAAGGAGGCAAGGCGTGATCCGGGCTGGAATGGAAGGCAGGTGCCAGGCCGGAGAGGAAGGTGGAGCCTTCCGAGGTGAGGCAGCTCCGTGGGCATCAGGTTAGGGGCTCAGGTTCCACGGAGGGATGGGGAGTACCGAGTTTTTCAAAAATGAAGAGTAGGGGCTGCTGAGTATGTGGCAACAAGTAGATTACATCACTGGATTCTGGGTAGTGATTACAGCTAACACTTACATGCTGTCATTATGGACTCATTATCTATGCAGAATTGTGCATTGCTCATGCACAGCTGTGCCCTGTCTTTCAGCGATGTTGCCGTTGTGCAAGCGTCCTAGAGTGCTTATACACACTCAGAGGCTGCAGCATCCCTAGAGGATGCAATCTTACCCGATCACCTTCCTGTAAGCAATCGAGCATTAACTGAAGCACTGGTATGCAGCACAGCACTGTCTGTATTGCACACTGCTTTAGACCTATTAACATACATGATTTTTCACGATGCTGTTAGGAGGGAGACACTATCCTGGGCGAGCAACCGAGGTACGGAGCCTCTAACTGATTGCCCGAGGCAACTGGTAAAATGCAGAACCGGAATCCACACTTGGGCAGTCCAAGCACCTATACAGGAAGCTGGTGGCTTTTGATTGTAGAATTAGGGGCTTAGGGATCTCTCCTCTTTTAACTGTGGGGCAGGGGCCTTGTGGTGTGTTTACCAGGGATGTTATATACTATCCCCATGAAGTAGGACAGCTCTGGCTGTGATGGGAAAGGCTGGAGTGGCAGCAAATGGAAGCAGAGAGACGACTGGGCAGAGCTTCCCAGTGATGTGCAGAGGTGCACAGCTGTTCCCCCATCAGGGTCACGTGAATGTCAAGGACACAGCTCCCCTCAGACCTCGGCAGACCTACAGGAGACAGGGCAAGTGGAGTGACCAGGCAAGGGGCCTTGAAATACAACTACATCTACCCATGTGCTATTCAAATTCAACAGCTCTCTGTGGGTGCCATGCCATGGACATCGCTGGCAAGCACTAGATTAGAAAGATGTTTGTCTTACAGAGCAGCAGCAGGCAGGCAAAGTGCAGGCCGAGACCTAGACTCTGCAGGGCTTCTTGGCCTGGATGGTGCCAACAAGGGGAAAGTTGGGGTGTTCAGGAATGACTCTTGGAAAGGCAAGGAAAAGAGAGGAGGTGGTGGCTCTGTGAGGGCAAGGAGGGCCTAGGGTTGTTGGCTCTGGGGAACAGTAACAACAGCTGTCAGTCTGTGAAGTTGGAGGGACACTAGGGCTTTTACTTAAGACTGTCTTGTGTTTTTGTTTGTTCCCTGATATTTTGGTGTAGACTTTATTAGATGTTTACTTCCTGAATGAATTCCTATTGGAATTAATAATTTCACTATTAATTTAAAGCTAGAAAACAATGAATTAAAGAAATCCAGTCTCTGAGACTGAATTTTTCCCAGCAGTAATGACGATGGCCTTGCAATAACTAGAAAGAAACTGCCTGGTCTGGTTTTCCAAATGCACTGAGAGTGTTCCAGGGTTGCCTGCGGTAGAGACGGCGGCTGGCTGAGAGCTCGGATTCCTGGGCTTAGAAACCTTAGATCTGCCCGTCACCAGCTGAGTGTACAAGTCACTTATCCACTCTGCACTCCAGTTTTTCCATCTGCAGAAAGGAGATGAGAGTAACTACCATGTGGAGTTGTGTGGCTGCTAGGAATTAATGCATACAAAGCACTTAGGACAGTGTTGAGTACAAAGTGAGCATCGTTACATGTTGGCTGTAATTATGGAACTGATTAGTCAAAGCCCTGGCACACGTGGGATGCCTACACACATGTACACCTCAACGCATGCAACACGGGACGTGGGCATTTGGCAGTGGGCATGTGGGCTGCTGAATACAGCTGGGACCAAATGCTAGTGTGGCACATACCAAGGCACCCTGGGGGCACTCTTGTCAAATTCTTGACCATATCAAGGGAAAACTGTCCTTCTGTGGAGGAATGGGAGAAGTAAGGAGAGGGCATGCGTCCACTGCAAGGCTGGTGCATGTGGGTGGAGAACATCCATGGATTAGGAACCATCTGCATCTGGTCCAGGAGAAATAAACAGGCAAGATCCTGAAAAGCAGGGGAAATCGTCTTCTTGCCATCTTTACCTACTCTGTTTTCTGATTAAAAAGGGACGTTTGCTCAATGTCAGCATCTGACATGTATAGAAGACTCTGCTCGGAGAAACCAATCCTCCCGAATCCAGCCAAACATTGTGAGCTCACATTATTTTTTTTCTATCCCTAGTTGTTTTGCAGAGCTAAGCTGATATAAATTTAAGGCTGTATCTTGCATTTTTGTTTGTTTAGCATTATATTACATAGGATTTCTCCCTGTCATTACTCTGCAGTTATTTTAATGCACACAGAATATCCAAAAAAATGATGATTCCCTCTTACTAAAATTGAACTTCTAGGTTCTTTCCAATTATTTCCAATCTTTTTAAATAATTATTATTTATTTGAAAGTCAGAGTTATAGAAAACGGAAGATACAGATAGTAAAAGAGACATCTTCCATCTGCTGCTTCACTCCCCAAATGGCTTTGGTGGCTGGGGCTGTGCCAGGCTGAAGCCAGGAGCCCAGAGCTTCTTCCAGGTCTCCCATGTGGGTGCAGGGACTCCAGCACTTGGGCCATTTTCCTCTGCTTTCCCAGGTGCACCAGTAGGGAGCTGGATCTGAAGTGAAGCAGCTGAGTCTAACTGGTGCCCTGATGCGATGCTGGCTTCACAGGAGGTAGGTTAACATGTTATGCCACAATGTCAACCCCTTTTACATTTTTTAAAAAATATGTATTTATTCATTTGAAAGTCAGAGTTGCAGAGAGAGGGAGAGGGCGAGGGAGAGGAAGGGGGGGGAGGGAGGAGGAGAGGCAGAGGCAGAGGCAGAGCAGAGGTGGAGGGAGAAGGAGAAGGAGAAGGAGAGGGGGAGGGGGGAGGGAGAGGCGGAGGCGGAGGCGGAGGTGGAGGGAGTCTGATCATTTGCTGGTTCACTCCCCAGAAGGCTGCAATGGCCATGGCTGAGCCTGGATGAAGCCAGGAGCTAGGAGCTTCAATATGGGTCTCCCATTTGGATGGCAGGAATGCAAACCATTGGACCATCTTCCTTTGCTTTTCCCAGGCCATTGGAAGGGAGCTGGATAGGAAGTGGGGCAGCCGGGACTTGAAGCAGCACCCATATGGGATGCTGGCGTTGCAGGTGGCGGCTTCACCTGCTCCGCCACAATGCCAGACCCCCAGTGCTTCTTTTCATAAAAGACACCATGATGAACATTTTCAGGTAGTATCTTTCTCTAATTTTTGGCTTATTTCATTAGGAATAATTTCTGAAAGGGGAAATCTTAGCGAACATATTTTCTTCCCCATCTTTTTCACCAGCCACGCATTACCCAGAGACGGAGTTAGAATTCAAGCTTTCAGAGAGGAAATGGACTCCTTGGCATGTTTACACACTTCAGCACAGTACAGACTTCCTGTCCACAAGGCCGGTTGAATATCCCCACCAGAATGGTCCCTCCCTCCCTAGACCCGCCCACTCCGCCCCATTCACTGTCATTCACATCATCAACAGTGGCTCAATGCATAGCTGAAGCTCCAGATGCCCTAGGGTCATCTTAATTTTATAGGCGAAAATGCATCCCTGCTTTAACATAACCCTCACACTGGGGATATATTTTGTGAATGGGGAATCATTAGAGAGTTTAGCTATGAGTACATCTCTGATTTTGTATTCTATTGAAAGCTCATATATGATGTGCTGCCATAAATCAGGATAATTCACTGATTTACATAGTTGATTTTAGTACTTCAAAGCCATCTCTATTTAGGACAGTAGTAATAGGAGTAAAAAATAACCATTATACCCAGAAAAATGCCTCACATTATGTGATACTGTTCTTGTACAGAAGTCGACACACCCCGTCAATGTTATTGGTACAGCACACTGCTATAAAGCACTCAGCTGAGAAGTTCTTCACCTGACTTTCGGAGAAATGAGTGTTAAGAAGTTATGTGACTTGCCCAACGCCCTGTGGGGAATTAAAGGCAAGCCAAGAACCACGCAGGCCCCTCCTAGAACATTCTGTGCACCCAGCGTTAAAGAGCAGGAGGCGAGGTATCCGGTTCCTTACCAGTGGGTTTGACGACGACTGCCAGGAAGTCTGTGGTGAGGGAGCTGACGTAGAGGAGGATGCAGGGCGCCTTGGTGGTGCTGAAGCTGAAGCGGATCTCCTCCTGGGCCAGGTCCGGGGGCGAGTTCTGCTGCTCCAGAGAGTTCTCGGCCCGGCTGCCTGAGTCTCTCGCGCTGACTACTGGGGCCTGGAAGTTATACCGCAGCCACATCCCTTCTTCAAAAAATGCGCCAACATCTGTCAGAGAGGAGAGAGTTGAAGATTAAGGGGCTGGGATCCCGATGCTGATACCCGCAACATTTTAAACTTGAGAGGACTGTTGATTCCATGATGACCTCTCAAGCAGTCCACGAAGGCAGACATTGGCCCAGGGAGGGGATCAATCAGACTGAGTAAACTTCTCTGCAGATGGATGTTATTTCAACAACACAACACTATCAAAAAAAAAAAAAAAAAAAAAAAGAGTGTGCAATAGAGTGTGGAAATCTGTAACACTAAACCAATAGTAAAAATTAAGAAACTTAAATCAGCAGGAAAAAATATCATGTATATTACTCAGATCCAACAGTTTTAGATTGGAGAGATACACTGAAAATGAAGGCAATGTTATAACATAAACCCCTGATTTAAGGAGTTCATAGCTACATCCTTTTTGAGAGTGGATTTGCTGTGGACATTCACACAGGAAAGCCTTTGATAAACTCTGCGTCTTTGGATGCTTTGGAAAATCATAAGAGGTGAAGCTGGAGAGAATTGGGTTCAAAATTTGCCTCTGCTATTCATTAGCTGTGTGGCCTTTGGGGGAGGTTTCTTAACTTTTCTCATCTCTTGCGTTCAGAATTTCATCTATGGAGAGAAATTAGCACTCAAAAAATAGTCCCTATTATTATTATTAAATGATCAGAGACATACGTATATCTGTGGTTAAACAGAATTTCTAAAAAAAATCAAAGGTAGCTATTTGACGTGATGGATATATTAAAGATTTTTGTTTTGTTTTTAGATTTATTTATTTGCAAGGCAGAGTTACAGAGGGAGGGAGGGGGAGAGAGATATCTTCCATCTGCTTATTCACTTCCCAAATGGCTGCAAGAGCTGGGGCTGGGCCAGGCTGAAGCAGAGAGCTTCATTCCGTCTTCCTTGTGAGTGCAGGGTCCCAAGGCACTTGGGTTGTTCCAGGCACATTAGCAAGGAGCTGGATTGGAAATGGAGCAGCTGGGATTCAAACTGGTGCCTATATGGGATGCTGGTGTCACAGGCAGTGTCATAATCCACTGTGCCACAACGCCGGCCCCTAACATACGTTAACTGTCTTTATTTTGGCAATCATATCACATTGTACAACTATATCAAGACATCAAATCATACACCTTAAATATAAACAAATTTTGTCAGTTATACAACAGAGAGAGAGAAGCAGCAAGGCCATGAATCCTTTCTCCAAACCTTTTTCCTGTGCCTACTCAGTGCTAACTGGCTTTCATCATTGCCTGGCAGACACATTCTCGTGGTAGGTCCCCACTGTGTGCTCACCAGTCACGCCCTGACTCTCTCTGAAAGGCAAGTCTCCCTGTGAAGATGTGCTTGGTCTTCATGGTCACTGCTTCACAGCCCTCAGCAGGTGCCTTTCCGGAAGCATTTCTCAAACTTCATTGCCCGTGGAAGTTGTTACTCTCGTAACACTTGACATCCCGCTAAATGAACATTATGCAGGATACAGTTTGTGAAACACTGCTCTACATTATAATTAGTAGGAGAGCCCAACTGCTAATAGGATTCTTTCATCTGGGGACTTCAACATTTGTGTTTTTTTTTTTTTTTTTTTTTTACAGGCAGAGTGGACAGTGAGAGAGAGAGAGAGACAGAGAGAAAGGTCTTCCTTTCCCATTGGTTCACCCTCCAATGGCCACCGCGGCCGGCGCGTTGCGGCCAGCGCATCACGCTGATCCGAAGCCAGGAGCCAGGTGCTTCTCCTGGTCTCCCATGCGGGTGCAGGGCCCAAGCACTTGGGCCATCCTCCACTGCACTCCTGGGCCATAGCAGAGAGCTGGCCTGGAAGAGGGGTAACCAGGACAGAATCCGGTGCCCCGACAGGGACTAGAACCTGGTATGCCGGTGCTGCAAGGTGGAGGATTAGCCTATTGAGCCATGGTGCCGGCCAACATTTGTTCTTGTTAAGCAAGTTGGCTTCGAGTAGTGGTGTCCAATGCCTGGGGCTGAATTTTGAACTTACCTTACCAATATCTAACTATGCTCTTTTGAACCATCAATGGCTTACAACTGTCTTATTCCATTTCTTCCTCTGAAAGATGGGGCCTCACAGGTGGTTTTGAGGGTTAAGTAACTTATGCATACAATACCTAGCCTAGTGCTCGGAATATATAAGGGCTTGAAAGAGATGACTCAACCATTATTACAAAGGCAGGTTACCATTATCATTGAGGGTGACAGATGGCACCTTCTAGTGCCATGCCACAACCCACATGTGAAACTTCAGTGATTCACCATGGTACTGACACAGAGTCCTGTGCTTCTCAATGAGTGTGGTGAACGGAGTTCAGTTAACTGCAGGTTCTCAACTACGGGCAATTCTATTTCCCTCCTGTGCCTCTCACCACAAGGACATTTGCAAATGTATGTTTTCTATGTGGGGTGGGGGTTGGTTGTCCAGATGATCGGCTGGGTTCTGACGGCATTTAGTGGGTAGGGTGAGGACAGCTGAGTGTCTTGCAATGTGTCAGGCTGTCTTATACAACTGGGAATGTCCTTTGGCATTGTAGCACAGTGAGTTAAGCCACTGCCTGGGTTGCCCACATCTCATATTGAAGTGCCAGTTTGGATCCCAGATCCTCCACATCTGATCCAGCTTCCTGCCAATGGACGTTTGGGAGGCCGCAGGGATGGCTCAAGTGCTTGGGTCCCTGCTGGGAGGCTTAGATGGAGTTCTTGGCTCCTGGCTTCAGCCTAGCCCAGGCCTGGCTGTGATGGCCTTGTGGAGAATGAACTAGTGGACAGAAAGTATCTGTGTGTGTGTGTGTGTGTGTGTGTCTCACTTTGCCTTTCAAGTGGATGAAAGTCAGTAAATAAACTTTATATAAAATGAATTGCCCTGATCCAAGTGCCAGAACAGAAGGACCCTTTGGTGGAAGCACAGGACTGAACAAACACTGAATCCAAGCTTGCTGCTTCACTTCCTGGAATGTGCAGATGAAGAAAATTCACTTCCTGCAGTGAGGAGCTTTCCTCTGGAGTGCACGGAGCAGGTGGCCTGCCCACCACCCGAGGACAGCATGGGGAGGGCTGTGGTGCTCACTCATCAGGGACGTGACCAGACCCTCACCTCACTGCCCGAATAGCCCGAGTCAGCTTCCCAGGCTTTCAGCAGGTGTCTACTGAGCTCTGACTGCGCTCCGGACAAAATGCTGGGCACAGGGAGCACAGCCAGCTCACCTGGAACTCTGCAGCAAGGGGCCACTTTTTTTTTTTTTGGTGATTTTTAAAAAAGATTTATTATTTGAAAGAGTTACAGAAGGAGAGGGAGGAGGGGGAGGGGGAGAGAGCGGGGAAAGGTAGGGGGAGGGGGAGAGAGGGAGGGGGAGGGAGAGAGGGGGAGAGAGAGAGAGGGAGGGAGGGGGGAGAGAGGGAGAGAGAGGGAAAGAGAGGGGGAGGGAGGGAGGGAGGGAGAGAGGGAGAGAGGCAGAGAGAGTCCCCAGATGGCTGTAATGATCAGGGCTGAGCCAGACTGAAGCCAGGAGTCAGGAGCCTCATATGGGTCTCCCACATGGGTGCAGGGGCCCAAGCACTCAGGCCATCTTCTGCTGCTTTTCTCAGGCTATTAACAGAGAGCTGGATCAGAAGTGGGGCAGCCGGGACTCGAACTGGTGCCCATAAGGAATCCTGGCATCCCAGGCGGTGGCTTTACCTGGTACACCACAGTGTCAGCCATTGGTCCACTTTGTCACACAGAGGTTCTACCAGAGAATGTGGGGGCCATTTTCCAAGAAAGAAGAGGTCAAATTGGGTCTTGTGGGGAGAGTAAGAGGGAGGCTAGAGATCAAGGTCAGAGAACTCAAACCAATCAGGTGTTAGCAGACAGGAACAGACAAGCACACCAGGCACTTGACGTTCAAGAGTGAGGAGCACAGATCCAGGGCCCAGGCAGGAGCATGGACGAGGGCTCCAGGCGGCAGAAGCTCTGAAGCATCTGAGTTTCGGGGACAATGCACCAGCGTTTCCCATAGATCAGGCTCTCTCTGCAGTCAGAGAGTGAACAGAACTGAATCCCTGACATCAATTTTTAAAAAAATCTATTTATTTACTTGAAAGAGTTACAGAGTGAGTTACCGAGTGATGCAGAGAGAGAGAGAGAGAGAGAGAGAGAGAGAGAGAGATCTTCCATCTGTTGGTTCACTCCACAAATGGCCACAATGGCTGGAACTGGGCTGGTCTGAAGCCAGGAGCCAGGACCTTCTTCCAGGTTTCCCACGTGGGCGTGGGGGCCCAAGGACTTGGGCCATCTTCCGCTGCTTTCCCAGGTGCATTAGCAGGGACCTGGATTGGAAGTAGAGCAGCCAGGACTTGAACCAGTGCCTATATGGGATGCTGGCATCATGGGCTGCAGGTTTATCTAGTACACCACACACAATGCTACACCTCTCCCCAACATCATTTTCAGACCACTTGCCTGGGAGCCTGTTAAGATCCTGGTCCTCAGCCTGGCCCTAGAACTGAGTTTGGAGGTCTGAATCAGTCTCTTGGGAACCAGCATTTTGAATGGGCTCCCAGGTGCTGTGTAACAGGAGGATGTGAGATCTGAGAGTTGGAGATGAGGCGGGATGTGGTACTAACTGGTGCCCCATGGAGTGAGTAACTGAATGGTCCCCATCACAGTGAGAGATTGTGTTTATTAGCTGAACTAGAGATAGCCATTCCAAGGCAGAACATGAAGGGAAATTCAGAAATCTAAGGATTTTAGATAAACAATCCAAAAATATGCCTTGGAGAATCCTTTTGTTGTGTTTTAGAGTTGTCATTAAAAAGCTTTACGGATTTATGTTGGTTTTGGAGGGAGGGATACGCCATGCTTAAACGTGTTATTCTGAAACTGCATCATAAACCAACTGTTAAAGCAAGGCCTGGGAGTGATGCGAATCGTTTAAAGTTCCAAGTGGCAGATTTATAGCTGTCATTTCACTGTTTCAGATCATTTTAAAGAAATGCCAAATCAGGGTACTGGA